AAAACACCAAATCTTTGCAGAAATTGCGATTTGAAACGAAAAATGTAGAAATTGCGGTTGGATAAAAAATATTATTGCAGATACATATTGCGTTTTGAAAAAAAAACACTAAAATTGCTGGGAGTTTTACATGGCAGAAATAGCTATTTAACTAGAAATTCAAATGGCAATCGAAAGAAATGTGCGCTGCGAGTGGATTGCCATCTCTAACTCAGTAGCTAAACTTTTTGCGGAAATTGCGTTTTAAAAATAAGCTCCTCATATACATTATCTGATTTGGTATGCTGATTGTTGTCAAATTCTTGATTCAACTCTCGTTCGCTACACATTTACCCATCCCCAAAGATTGCTAAGCCTCTCAATTTTGTTTATTTGTTTTTCCTTGATTTTGTTGAAATAAAGTTCGTATTGTTGTTTTTGTTTTTCAAAGAATGGTTTTAAATCGTTTTGGTTGTATTTAGTGTTTAAGGATTTTTCTGTATTATTATAATTGTCTTTTTTCCAAACTTCTTGTTGGGTATTTTGCCTCAAAAATGTTCGTCTTTAAAAAAGACAGAATTTCCTCACGTCTTTTATTACAGATTGATAAATAGTGCTCCTATTTTGCAATAAGAACAAATTATTTATCGAAAAGTAATCAAGAACTATCACCTATAGGGTATCCTGCGACACACTTGGGCTCAAGCTGTAAGAGAAAATTCCAATTAGTAAAGAAATTAATTTGAAAAATTACCTTGACGTTTCGATAGCTATTTTCTGCAATCGTTATCAACAGAACCTAAAAAAGAGTATGTTAATAAATTGTGTAACAGTAGTAGGATAATACAGTATATGAAAATTCGCTCTGATAATTCGTCTGTGCAAATTGTCAGTTATGTGATGATATTATTATAATTAAATATTATTATTTCACATAACTGACAATTTGCACAGACGAATTATCAGAGCGAATTTTCATATACTGTATTATCCTACTATTGTTACACAATTTATTAACATACTCT